AGAAAACTGCATAGCAGCAAAATTATACCTACACAAATGAAATACATTGGTCAATTGGGTGATTAATTGGTACCGAAATTTCGCGCGACTCGTTCTCACGGGCCTTCTTCAAGGTGGACAGAGATGATCTTCGAAGTTCGTTCATTTTGAGCCAAAACGTGTTCATACGTATTTACTGCATTATTGCAAATACTGCTGGTTAAGTAATTTTTCGACAGCAGACTCGGCACGGTTTGTCTAATCCGGGATTATCCAATGGCATAATTGACGAATTTAACACGGTAATATTATAAACCTTATAATAAGTTACTTTAAATCAACTTTTGGCAAGGTTAATGTCAAAGCAAACATTTTAAACAATAAACCTGGCCTAATTCTGCGTTATGATAAAAATGTCAGTAAAAAACTACGAGATAAATTAACACTAAGTATAATATTGACGTTATACATAAAATTTCTAATAAATTTCTTGTGTTATTAGCAATTCCAAGAATAATAGCCATCTAGGCTGGGTTTACAAATTCCCATGTAAATGGGTAAAGTTTTACAAAAGAGAAACGGGAAATTTCGTCATTCAAAGAATAGATCACCTGTGAAACTGAAGAAGATGGATGATCGCGGACTACGTGAACGACATGCGGTAACAAAGCACCTAATCATCTCAAAGGACAGTACGACAATACTTCCGGGATTGTGCAACGCGCAGCGGAGTGAGGTCGCATTCAACATAACGATCGAATGCACTGGAATCATTAAAGAAAGAAACTCGTTAAACAGGCGCGTCAAAGAAGCATTAATTAACCAATCCTGTGACAGTGACAACCGGGACAAAGAGCACTCACTTTACACGGATCGTTTAACAAGCCTCGTTAAGCCTGTAACGGAAAAACTGCTTTACCATACAAACCAGGGATGTCGAATGACAGCGGTAGGCGGCTGTCGGACCTCTGTTCCACGCACCACCTCGTTGTTGGCGGTTCCTCGTCGCTTCTACGCCGCCAGATCCATCAGCTGACATGAACGGTGCCAGGTGACAGCTTCGGGTGTCAGGTGAACCACATGTTCGTCAGCAGGAACTGGCGAAGCGTCCTTTACAACACTGGCTCGCACTACTTTATGTTGGTCACAGAACTTCACATCCAACTAGCCGCGTCCCGGAGAACAGCACGGAACGGGGCGAACGCCGATTCGACACCAGGTAGGCCAAAAGGTCCAGAAACTTGTGCAGTGTTCTAAGAGGAGATCAACAGCAGATTGAAAAGAGGTAAAGGAGGTGACCTGGTGACCTGTCAGAACCAACAGTTCAAACACGGTATGGTCGCTGCCGCAGCAAATATACTCGGCCAGAGCAAAAAGACGAAGCACCCGTAGATTTCGACAGAAGCCCTCATTTTCTTCACCAAGGAAGAGACGCTGCGAAGCAGCAGTTCTCACAGAACCCTGAAGAGACGAAAAAACGAGCGCATCGGCATCCCGTGAAAGTAGTCAACAGGAGTTACCGCTGCGAAAAGCGACATTGAATGGAACTCCAGGTTCAGAACTGGAAAAAGCGGCCTTGAAGATGGACTGAAAGACGCTGTACAGACAAGTTAACATCATCACCAAATTACACGGCAAACATAAGCTCCTAATTTGTCTGACTTGCAATTTCAGGTCGCCTTCGGGGGAGAGAGGCTGAACACTTCAAAGAGCTCCTAAAACTCCTGAACAGGCGCACTCAACTGAATGACCTCTAAATTGAGTTCGAACAGCTGGATAAACTGGAAATTAACTGCTCGTTTCACCGAAAGACGAAATCCGAGATATGCAACTTGTCTGTTGAAGTTTAAAATCCTGCGGACATGACAAAATTAGCGCAGAAATTCAGAAGTGCCCAGGCGAAATCCTGCTGAACTGGATTCACCCGGTTTTTGAAACAGGTAAAGTGGCCTCGACAGTTAAGCCCACCAAAACGCAGATCTTGCGAGAACTGACTCGCCGACTCGACTAACGATCCAAAGACTCAATGAGGTGGAACCACCATTGAAAAGGTCATAAGCTTCAAGTACCTCGGCCCTGTAATCACAGAGATTCGAAGCTGCGATATGGAGGTATATCAGCGCCTAGAGTTGGAATCTGTGATCTTCGGGCGACTTTCTACAGTATGGCAAGATCGATCTATACGGAGAGCAGCAAAGATCATCATACTGAAGGCCGCCGTCTTCTCAATTCTGATGTGAACCCTCAATTCTCAATTCTCAAAATGAACCTTTTAAAGCGCCATGAAAAGATGTAGAACACTTTTCAGCAGCGCTGCCTGCGGAACATTCTGAAAGTGCGATGGTTCCATCGAAGGAACAATGAGCGTCCTTAAACTCGACCTTCCTGAGAATGCCCGTTGGAGTAATGGGAACGGTTTGACAGAACCACCTGGAGAGAGAATGAAGTCTCATCCAAAACCATTCTCGTCTGGGAAGCAATAAATGGCCGAAGGCCAGTCGAACGCCAACGTAGCACCCTTAAGCGGCTGCTGGAGGCGAACTTGCTAGCGTCAAGAAATATGACCTTTGCAGCAGCAACCAACATCGCCTAATCATTGTGGGAATCGTTAACGCGTCCACAATGATTAACCATAGTAGTCAGTCCTTGATCCTTATACGTTAGGTGACGATTACAACAACGTAACCAGCAACATGGACGAAAAGCTCTACTTTCGGTTCCACACATCACAGCAGGTGTATTCTGTAGACCGGCTTTGGGAAATCAATCCTGTCAACTTGACGAGCCAAATGTAGGTACTGGTTAAGTAGACGACTGGCCAATTTTTTGCCTTGTGTACGAAAACTGCGCTTTCATACAGTTGTTTAACAGATTGGTTGAAGAGCGAGGTAGCTTCGTTTATTGATGGTCAGACGAATGACTAATTGCATATTTACAGGACCTATGCTAGTAGCGGTAACTTTGCAAGTAATATTACTGCTTTTCATAATTATCTTGGACATCATAAGTTTAATAGCACTACTTTTCCTGTATCAATATCAGACGTACGAGAAGTGATTTTTCAGAATATTTTAACCACCAAGTTCTTCGATGCAGGATATACTCTTTTCACGAGTAGATCTGCTTCTAGTAAACTTAGACAGTCAATGCCTTGTAAATTGACTTTCTTCGCATCTATGCCAAGAGTTGCTGGATCTGTAAAGGGCCGAACTCAAACCAATGAGGTCCGGTCGAATCACTCGCCTTTCTTCCCTCCGAAGTTTATAACTGATTATTAATCGATGGGAAGAAAGCAGAAGGTGACTCGCTATGCTTTTGGCTCTGTCTTTAAATTATTGTACTGTGGGCTGATAATATCGAAACTGAGATCAGCGATGGAACTAAAGGTGCCTTAAATTATCGTCAATCGTGTAGGTGCAAGGGAGATCGACGTTCCGACGTTATCGGTGGTTGTAGGATAAGCGCTCTTATCATCACTTGGCCTTATAATCCGTTTTATCCAGGGATAAGGCATGCGTCACTGTTTTATTAGATCATAGGGTTATATTACCTGATATTAAAAATATTGTACAGCATTGCTAACATAAGTGCAATGTACCTTTTCGATGCTTCATGACTACAAGAGAAAGGAGATCACCATTACTTTATAGGATAACTTTCACTTTGTTTATCGTCCGCTTTTATATATTCTGTGCAGCATATCAAAATTTGCTGCTGCTAGTCTTATCATCGATTAATCATCAATTATTGGTGGTGACTAAGCCCATACGGTCTACGTCCTCAACTTATCGCTCATTCCCTTCGCTCCCAACAGCGCCAGTTCATTAATTTTGTTGATATCACCTTGCAGCCCATCTCTTTCCTTTTAGAGCAGATTGGCGATGTGCAAATCCTAATTAATATGCTAATCGGTTATTATAACAATGTCGTCGGAGTACGTTGAATTGATCAGATAAACTGCTGGATACGTGGAGCTTCCTTTTGATTTTCTAGTGCAGTCCTCTGCATAGGCTAAATACTCAATAGGTAGACCATCAGATTCAGAACCGGGGCCCCTTGAGGTCACAATCTTCCTTCAGAGGTTCGCAAACGGGTACCACTCGGGTGGAAGGACACAGAAGACCACACGTAGTGCTAGCCGCATAGTTGTCAACTCAAATTTCAAAAAACAAGACACCCCACCGATGACAGAAATGGACATTAGCGTTCCGCCATCAGATCGACGGAAAGAAAGGAACCAAAGTCAGCCGGTTGTGAAAGTACAAGAAACGCCGACAGTCTTCTGTCATTTAGGACCAAACTTCTTTGCATTTCGTCTCGAGGGACCTCACACAGGATAAATTACTCCTACAGGGTATTTTTGCTTCACTATCCAAATTGTTCAATCGCACACTCTTTACGTCAGGCACGATCATTTTGTACCGCGCATGCAACATCATAGGGATTGACAGACTTTGTTGCTCAATTTCAATCGTAATATGGTTGAGAATCATGCATTGCTGTACGCAAGATTATGATTAAACGATGCGTTTCAGTGCTGCATTTAATTCTGAACAGCGAGGGATAGACAGAAACGAGAAATTATATCAAGCCATCATGTAGGCTTTAGAACAAAGAAACAAACCATAACCAACAAAATACACTTTTAGAAACAGCTTCCCATATGAAACTACAAAATACACAACACAAAATTAAACAAAACAAACATTCACATGTTCAGAACAGACATATCGACCATTTGGTAAAACATCGTGAAAAAACATGAACAGAGATTCGATTAATGCTAACCGTAAAAGTCCGGGAAATTCCCGAAGGGCACTCATAAGTAAAAAAATGAAACGGTTCTGTTGTCTGTTCAAAAGGCGTGATTAAAAATGAGAGGAAAAGGCGCCATTCCTGAGTTTCAAGCACTTGACAATCGTTGATATGTGAATCAACTTTCAAACTAACAAATACACCGTTCGTAAAGGCGGGGCAAGAACGGAAATTTCTGACATCATACGAAGATATTTTGTGGTGATTCAAGAGGAGACCCAATCTTTCGGAACCCAGCACGGCTGAGTTTGCATTGATGATATCGCTTCGACGAGTTCCCGGAAGGCAAACTCCAGGTTTCCGTTGATGAGCACATAATCGAAGAAGTGGCCAAAGGTCGCTTCCAGTCGATTGCCCGTTTCGATCATCTGCAGCAGCTCCGAAGAGGTGAACCCCCGACTGTAGTCTGAGTCGAACGTCGACCGTACTTCGGCGCAGCTGCGGGTCGCCTCCAAAGTCGGATACGGTGGAGGCTTGACGAATATGAAATATGGTTTCAGTTCGGGTGTTCGTAAAGCTCTCACGGCCTGCGGGTGAGGATTGAGTATACACGTCCGATGCTGGTCCATTATGTTCTTCA